GGCGGGCTGCCGCGGGGCCCGGCCTCCGCGCGCTCTGCGCCTCTGCCGGTGTTCGTGCGGCGGTCCAGGTGCCGCCCGGTGCTGTCTTCCAGTGCCGCCTGGAGTGTTGGTGGGATGTGTAACTCGTGGTGGACGCGAGCCTGCATTAGGGAAAGCGCATTTAACCTTCGGATCAGAAGGAGCGAGTGCGCAACCTGGGCGACCGGAGCGGCCACGCGCGGCTCGCGTGGTGCTGTCCGCAGCCCGAGGTCTCACCTGGACTGCGTCAGGGCCTGGGTCGGCGGGCCTCCACCGGTGTCCTCCGTGCTCCTGAAATAAGGTAGTGGGCCTGCGGAAAGAGTGTTTGGAAGTGAGTGAGAGTCAGCTTTATTGGCACATGCCTGATAACAGTTATGCATCCAGCCCAGGAGAACACTCCTGGTCTAATGACTGGCTTTGAGCTTGCAACTAGGTGATGTTTACCTTTGTGAGAAGTTAAGTTCAGAAACGTGCTTGAGCATCATCAAGTCACTACAATAAAGATGTTGAAAGTTGTAAAAAAAAAAAATGCTATTGGATACCGCAGTGTCTGACCGTATCAAAACAGTGAGACAAAATATACTGCACGTTTTGTATTATGCTCTGTGTTTTTCTCAAATTCATTTGGATTCATAGGAATAACAGAATTGAGGAAGATCATGCTTTTTAAATGTATTTTTTAACAAATGAAAATATGCTAAAAGAAGTGTGAAACCGCAGTTAGTGCTTTTAATATATTGATTTTTAGCCCTTTTAAAGTTCAAATGTATTTTTATTATGAAAATTCAAAGTCTCAAAATGTAAGAGGTTAAGTGAAACCCCAATTTTTCCTACTGTTAGCACTGTGCATTTATATGCATAAATTTATACACAGAAAATGTACAGTGTTTTCTATATTTTTCTAAACTTAAATGTTAGAAACTGGGTTGCAACCTACTTCTTTCGCTTGACATTGTAATCTAGTACACACACTTATAGCTTTTTTTCCTGTCAGTTGTTCACAGTCTAGTCAGTCTGGCTTTTGAGCTCTTTATTAAAGATCTTTAGTTGATTTTGTGGTTAGAATGGAATTTTGTCATTGTAGGTATTTTTCAAGAATATGTAATTTCAGGAGTAGACATCTCATTAATTTCACTTATGTAGTTACTGTACTAAATTTGTAGTGGGTATTAGCCATTCTCAAGCGTTGGTTATTAATAGGAACTGAGCTTTTCTACCCTCATAATTTTAATTTTGTTTGAATGTTACAGGTGGAATGCTTAGTATAAATATCAAACAGGTTTGACATGTAATAGAAACATTTATTAATCGCAAAAAATTGTGAAAGTTGTAAGATTTGTCCTAGAGAAACATTGGGTTTTTGTATCCTGGAGGGTCTAGTGATGTGCATAACCCCTTGGGCTAAACCTTGCCCAGTAAATTTGTTCTTGAATCGCAAGAGGCTGTTTAAGCTTTGCTTTTTCCTAGCTTTTCAAAATGGTCTTTGAGCCAAAGCTCAACTTTATTTTATAGTAAATATTAATGTAAATTTCACTGTGGACAGTTTCTCCTGTGGGCTTGGGTTTACATAAGTAATCAAAGTGCATGTGCCAGCCTTTTATTGGAAAGGGCTGGTGAATTGCAGTGTTTGCAGTACCTACTTGAAGCTGCTGATCCAGCACAGAAAGACAAGCGAGGTGCAGTTGCACTCTTGATCCCTTAGAACCAAGTGGTAGGGAAAAAATGTTTGCTGGTTATCTTTTCCTCTCTGCATTTTGGAGGGAGAATGGAATGTTTTCAGGGTATTGGTAAATTATCCTATCTTATTAAGTAACCAATTGTATAAATGTGTAATAAATGTAATATTTTAAGTTTTGCATGGTGGAGTCCAAATTTTATTGATATAGTTAAAAAATAACTTAGAGAAAGTGGAAAGTAGGTGGAATAAACACCCACATGCTTCTGTAGTTGGATGGGAGATGTTTTTCTTCCTTTCTTTCTTTTATAAAATTTATTTCAGTTGTAAATGGACCTTTATTTTATATTTATGGGGTGCTGAGACTTGAACCCAGGGCCTCACATACACCAGGCAAGTGCTCTACCACTGAGCCACAACCTCAGCCCCTCTTTTTTTTTTTTTTAAACTACAGGTTACAAATAGGGAATCTGAAGCTGAATTAAAACAAATTAGGGGAAAGTATTGCTGTTGACAAATGTGCTGAGGTCTGTCAGGTCCTGGGTAGACCTTTTACATTTTTGATTTGTTAGTTGATATTCATAATGACATTTTCTCTCTTAAATTTCAAATAGTTGTTCTAATTTTGTTCTCTTGATAATGTATGTTTCTGCAATAAAAGCTTAATGCTCTGTTTATGATAGTGTCTTTCCCATATCCTAACCATGTCACAAGCTTAGATTGTGACCTCACTACAGAATGCAAATTGGATTCAATATTTCTAGTAATAGGATATTGAAACCATGGCTGATTAGACTTAGATCTGTCATGCAACTTTTTACACTGAAGAAAAATAAAGTAGTAAGTTGTGCTGGGAGTGGTGGCACTGCTGGGAGGCTGAGACAGGAGGATCATGAGTTCAAAGCCAGCCTCAGTAACTTAGCGAAGCCCCAAGCAACTCAGCAAGACCCTGTCTCTAAATAAAATACCAAAAGTTGGGGGGGGGGGTGGCGAGATGTGGCTCAGTGGTTAAATGCTCCTGGGTTCAATCCTTGGTACCAAAAAAGTAGTAAGTGGCACAGTTTTGTGTTACTGATGTTACAGACATGATTTTTGCTTTAAATAAGATCTGATAATATTTGCTTGTGTCTAGGTAGGGAATGTTAGTGGAAAATGCAATATGTGTATGCATATATTTCTCAAGAATTATAGTGTGCATCTAAGTGGGATGAGAATTCAGTTAAAATACACCCATGAATTTGAATAATATTTAATGGCTATAGAATCAATGTGAAGGGTAATTTCTACCAAGAAAAATCGAAGTCACCATAATACCAATTGTACATCGTGTTTGAGAGAAGACCTTCTGAATGCATGCCACAGCAGATAATCGTTCTGGAAAGTGGTCTACGATGTGACAAAGTTCTCCACAACGTGTTTTTACCAAGGATTAGGTGGCTTCAAATGCAGACTTTGGTTAAAAA